GTCTAAGGACAAACAAGTGCTATGTATGGCTCTATATCAAGAGTAAGAAAAGCATGGGCTGATGCCCTTTAGAAATTAAGCCGTATCCTGTGTTTCTCGCACAAGTGTTCTTTATGTCTTTGGGCCCAGGTGGCCACCATGCACCCTGCAATAGCAGGAACCTCATTATGACTTTTTGCCTATGCAAACACTCTGGCCCCATTACAGCACACAACATAAGTAGGTGGACAAATATTATTACTACGGCTAGAGCCCCATGTTTTCCACAAATGCAAAATAACACTGTGACAGTGTACCCCATAAGGCTTTATGGGGGGGCTGTGCTTATAAACATATGTATGATATAACTGGAATAGGGTTTTGCTACATATGCCATGTAACATATCTATGTAAAGGTTATGATCTACTGGTTATGTTCATCCTAGTTGTATGCAGGCACCATTCATGTGTTCAAAGTTATGTATACTTGCTTGATTTCTAAGTAAGCTTTGTGAGGCATTTGGTCACTTCTTTAGGAAGGAATTCGCAAGGTTAAGTACCCGATCAGGAAGCATTTGGGGAACAATGCAACTTGGAATGCTCCAATCCACATAAGAAATCTTCCTGGAGACATACAAGATACCATGTGGACAATGGCTTCTGCCTGTAAAGACTGAGTCATGCATGGACATGTGACTTGCCCAGGTGACTCCAGAACTCCATCTTGGAGCTGGACTTTGCATAGGAGTGAGGAGGGGGTCTCCACCCACAAGAGAAAGTCTATTTAAACCCGTGGGAGACCCCTCCATTTTGTCTTCAATTGGCTAAAGAAGGAGCCTCTCCACTACCCCCCTCCCCCGGATACTTGAAGGAAACTGGAACAAAGGATGGTAACTACAGGGGGTGTGAGTGATTGCTGGACCCAGGCTAAAAGGAGATTAGTCTGTAAAAGGGAGCATTCTGGAACTGGTGAGGATCTTATCTGTATTTAGTTTGATCAGACATAGATGTGCGCATTTTATTTTATTTTGGTGACTTACTTTGTTCTGTCTGTTACTATTTGGAAGCACTTAAATCCTACTTTCTGTATGTAATAAAATCATTTTTACTTATTAATTAACTCAGAGTATGTATTAATACCTGGGGGAGCAAACAACTGTGCATATCTCTCTATCAGTGTTATAGAGGGCGAACAATTTATGAGTTTACCCTGTATAAGCTTTATACAGGGTAAAACGGATTTATTTGGGTTTAGACCCCATTGGGAGTTGGGCGTCTGAGTGCTAAAGACAAGCATACTTCTGTGAGCTGTTTTCAGGTAAACCTGCAGCTTTGGGGCAAGTAATTCAGACCCTGGGTCTGTGCTGGAGCAGACGGGAGTGTCTGGCTCAGCAAGACAGGGTGCTGGAGTCCTGAACTGGCAGGGAAAATAGGAACAGGGGTAGTCTTGGCACATCAGTTGGTGGCTCCCAGGGGGGTTTCTGTGATCCAATCCGTCACAAACACTAAATAAGAGATTGTATAGTTTCTGCAGCTCCTGTCCTGTGGGGCTGGGCCTGGCTTCCCATTCCAGGAATCGTGACTTGCCATTCCGGAGGATCCCAAGGTCTTTTCCGACCTTAGTTTCAGTACCATTTCTATAACCGCCACTCACTCAAAACTCTCACCGGCCTCCGTGGAAGTTTCTCCTCAAAAAGGGGTATTGGGGTTTGTCTCAGGAGGGACTTTGTTCACCTCCAAACTGCATCTGCTCTGGAGTGGAACATGTCAGCCATTCAGCTACAATACCATATAGTGATTTAGGATGGGATGTGAACAGGGAGCTAATTATGCAATAGCAACTGCAGCAGAGGGGAGGAAGGAGATTTAGGGATCTCGAATGTAATTCTCCATATTGGAATTTAGCCAGGACAGTGGGATGAACGCTCCAACTTGTCACGTCCAGGCTCAGTTCCTGCAACTCTGTATCTACGGGCGGAGCCACCCACGTAGAGAAAGCTCCAGTGGGACCAGATGCAGCAGCCTGGCTGCCTTGCAATATTAGTGGGAACTTCAGACAGTCCTGGGCCTAAACAGAAGAAAGTGAAGAGACTATATAAAAACATCAATGGGAAGAAAAATACAGCTGGGTAAAACCTGTCAGTAGCAATTGTGGTAAAACCTTTTGTACTTTGTGCTGCCATACATTCACTGATGAATTCAAATGAATTCATCAGGCATAGAAGCAAAACTTATAGGAGAAAAACATACAAATTAAAGGTCTGACAAATATTAGCAAATTCTTTGTCTTTTCAAACACTGAAAGAGACAGAATTGCAGAGTGTGAAATTGCAGCTGTTTACCACACAGTTAAACACAGTCTTAGTTGGAAGAGCATGGACTATGGCAATAAGCTTGCTAGCGAAATATTTTTGGGATTCCTACGTTAACAAATTGTCTTGTGGAAGAACCAAGGCAGGCCTATTAGTGACTAATGTTTTGGTCCCAAAGTCTGTGAGGAATTGTTTATGGGATTTATTGCCCTCACTACCAAAACAGCCTATGTATTTTGCAATAGCAACTGACCCTTCAAGTAAAGAGAACAGAAAGATGTTTCTGATGTGCTTGGAATACTTTACCATGTCACATGGTGTTCAGTCAAGTTGCTCAATTTTTATGAAGACTATGATGAATCTGCAAGAGGCATTCATTGTGTTATAAAGACCAGCCTAGATAAACACTAGCTTAACATTAATTGTATTACTGCATGCTCTGATAATGCAAATATGAACTATGGTAAACACAACTTGGTGTATCAGTTGTTATGTGCTGAAAATGATTGCATTGAGATGAACTTCTCTATACACATAGCCAATCACTCACATCTGCAAGTATTGTGGGCTATCAATTGACACAAAAATGATTTTATTGAAAATTTACAACCATTTTTCTGTCCCTGCAAAGCTCAGAGAAGCATTCAGGTTTTTTTCTTTGTTGAAATTGAATGGAAAGAAATATGGTGACATGTGAATACAAATTGGCTATCCCTTAACCCAGCAGTCAACTGACTTTTGAGAAACTGGCCAGCAATTGCAGCCAACTTCAAGTCACTAGGGGAGTCTTGCCCAGTAGCTTAAAAGAAAATGTTCACCAAAGATGGCGAGTATTCCTGCATTATGGACATTTACATATGTTTTTTTCACAATGTGGCTTGTGTCTCCAACTAAGTTGGAGGAATCAGAGTTATGCATTATTGATGTGTATATAGATGTCCCATGTTAAGATGAAGATGCTGAACCTAAAGAGGTCCTTTTTTTTAAATTCAAAGCCAAACAACTGACGGCAAAACTACTACCACACCAAAAAGTGAAGGTAAAGCAAGACTTTATTAAGTTTTATGACTTTGCATTTGTACATTAATAATTGGTTCAGGGCCTCCTCTAACATCATTATGATGTTAGAAATTGGCCTCCATAAGAAGCTTTGTTTGCCAAATCTTGAGTTGTAACAGAAGCACTCAGAATGAAGGAAATCATTAACATGGATCAGCTCTATAAGGAATTCTGCAACAATCAAGATGCAATTGGAACATCAAAAAATGACCTTTCCAAACCTGGCAGTGAAAACAGAAAATGTGGAAAAAAACATCTGAAAAACTTGTTCTAAAATTGTGCCATTTGCACTTAGCATACCAGGCTAAAACACAGTTGTAGAGAGGATTTCTTCCTTTAATGAGGTATAAATGGTCTAACAAATGGAATAGATACAGGATAGATTTAATTAAAAGCAAACTCAAAATTTGCATAAACTTCAGTTAGCCTGCAAAGATTTCATTTCCAGATCCACACACCAAGGCCAGAAGGTGCTGAGTGCAGCAGCAAGTGATGGTTCTGGCCAATGTAGGTGAGTGCAGGTTATAATCAGCTCTGCCAATGTGGGCCTGCAGCTGGAGCGGGGCTGTGTGTATCACACCTAAGGGAAGGGAGTTGCCGACCCTTCCCTAGCATAAAATGAAAAAGGAAAAAAACAAAACAGCGAGACCCCCAGGCTCTGCAGGGCCCAAGGCGGGAACCGCAATTCCGCTGAGCAAGGCCTTAAAGCTGCTTCACTCGCACGTGATTTTTTCTGGCCGGGCTGCAACTAACACCCCCCGGCTGGCACTGCGCTGCGCTGCCCCAGGCCCCCTGCAGCCGCTGTCCCGCCGCGCAAACAGGGCACGTGCAGAACGCAGGGCCTCCTCCCGGCTTCTTAGCCCAACGCTCTCAGCTCGCTGCGCCGCACGCGCGCCCAGCCAGCCCCTGGCCCACCCCTCACATATTTAATTATCCCCGCCGCACGCCGCCGCTGGCCCTTTTCTCGTCAAGTCTCGCGATATCTGGGCCGGCGGCCAGCCGGCCTGGGCGGCGCCATGTTGGCGCCTGGGTAGAGCGGGCTGGGCCCCTCCCCTTGTCGCCAGGCCGGCGGCCCGGATCCCGGAAGCGCTTTACGGCCGCGCCCAGCGTTCCACAGCCCCCCCCCATCCCGCCCCCTCTTCTGAGCTCGCGCTGCCTGGAGACCAGTTCCCACCTCCGCGAGCGGACAGTGGGGACCCAGGAGGAGGGGGGCGTCCCGGGCAGCCCCCGCCCCTCCCCCGTGTAGAGCGAGGGGGAGCTGGGCATGCTGCCGCCGCCGCCCCCCAGCGCACGGTAAGGGGGGGCGGGGCGAGACTGTGCCGGTCGGGGGGTCCCGGGTGCGAAGGGGGGCGAGGGCATCGGTGCCTCGGGGCTGGCGCTTCGGGGGGGAACCGGGGGCTGGGCTGCGGTGACTGTTCCTTGTGGGCTCCGACCGGGGGGGGAACCCGCCGCTCCTCTGACGGGCTGGGGAGGGGGCGATGGGTGCGTGGTGCCCCCCTGGACAGCAAAACTTTGTCTCTGTGTGTTTGGAGGCGGTGTGGGGGTTGCCTGGTGATGCCGCGTGAGTCTGTGACCGGGAGGTGGCTTCTTGCGCGGGGCCACAACTATTGTCTGGCTGTTTCTGGTGTAAGTCATTGCAGGTGGGAGAGTTGCCACCGCCTCCTTCCACCCTTCGGCATGCTGACTCTGCAGCCTGCTGCTGTTGTGGTTTTGGCTCTGCCATAGAAGAGGTAACTATGGCCTGGTTGTGCTCTGTCCGGCTAGACTTGAGCTCCTGTGTGTTGTGTTCTGTAATCAGTCAAACATATCAGAGACGCTAATTACGCCTAATATAGATGCTTTGCTGCTGTTTTGAAATTCCTGTTTGAGGGTGTGTTTACACTTCCTTCAGACATGACTTGTAATCCCATATCAGCTTTTCCCCCGTCTAAGATTTTTTTCCCCTTTTTTTGCTCCTGTTAAATATGCCCAAGAGTGACTGTGTTTTAAAGTTTCATAAAAGTACTGTACGGTTCCTTTATCTTTGGAAAAGTGGCATGGCCTAAATGTGGCAAGTTAAAAGGTGGTTCTTAATAAAGTAAAGCAAGACACTGTACTAATGTTTCTATAAGTCTACATAAAAGCAGCTATAAAGATTGTTAAATGATATTGTCAGTTAACATTGTTTGCTAATTGTCTTATATCCTATTTTAAACTGAGGAATCCTTTAAAACTGGTAGTTGCTTTTCTAATTATTACAGTAGGCTATGCAGTGAATGTTCGTTGCTGAAGCCTTGTCAGTATGATTTTCTACAATGACTTTTTCATTTTACATAAACATTAATAGGACAAATCTCACTACTGATTTATCAACTATCAGTAGAGAATCTTTGTTTTTAGCTCGGGCATACAGTACTACAAGAAAAAAGTACGAATTGTCAATTGGTAGACTGGTAGCCTATAACTGGTATATATGAGCAGTTTATGTTTTGAGTATTTTTTAAATTAAACCCTCTTACAATGGAAAACATGCCTTTTTTTAAAAGGAGTTTATTTTGATAGTTAAACTACTGATTTTTTTTCTACTTACAGTAGAATAACATAAAAAGCTTTCTTTTCCTAAGTAAAACTCCTGAAGTTTCTGTTTGCAAAGCTTCTATTCATTTTATAAAATATGGTAGAAAAACAGTGTTTGTATTCCATGTTTTAAGTATCTATATTATAAAGTGGAACTATGGCTTTTACTTGTAAAATAAAAATTCTCCCTCTCTTCTGTTCGTGTCATTTTATACTCTGCAGGTTAAGTTGTGAATTGAACTTGTGATTAGTGAGGTTGCAGGCATGGTGTACTACTATTCTGTCTGCTGTGCATTACCAAGGGATCCTTGCTGCCTTGTATAATAGTGGTGTGGCTTATAAGAAAAAATAACTATTGACTTGACTGAAGCTGTGTCGTTACTGCAGAATGAGAATGGCCACTGTGAAATGTCACGCTACCTAACTCAGGTGTTAGGCTATGTCTACACTACCGTGGTAAGTCGACCTATGTTGCACAACTTCAGCTATGTGAATAACGTAGCTGGAGTCGACGTACCTTACGTTGAGTTACTGCGGGGTCTGCACTGTCCTGTCGACTTACCTTACTCTTCTCGTTGGGGGTAAAGTACAGGGGTCAACTGGAGAGCGATCTGCTGTCGATTTGGCAGGTCTTCACTAGACCTGCTAAATCAACCGCCGGTGGATCGATCTCAGTGTGTCGATCCTGGCTGTGGTGTAAATGTAGCCTTATTGTATTAACAGCTGAGAGTTGTGTTAGCTGGAGCCTATGCCCCTATCAAGCCAGTCAGCTTGAGTTAGTGTTTTTTTGTGTGGTTGGGACTTGAGTTAGGGGCAACACTCAATTTACAACTTAAGTTAACTCTGCAGTGAAGACAAGCCCTGAGACTATTGGTTTGCAAATAAGATGAAAAAGATGCTGAAGGAGCTCTTGAAGTAGGCGACATTGAAAAGTCTTGATAGCCTAAATTGTATAGCTAAAAGCGATTTTATCAAACTGGCACTTCGTCTTAGGTGTTGATAAACTTGTCCATGCTTATTGATCTAGAAAGTCTCCTAAAAAGCAGGTTTCTTAGTTTAGTTCAACTGTAACAAAACAACTTCATATTGGGGTATTTCATCACAGGTGGTCTTGGCAAAGATTTTTCAGTATCCAAGAAAAGTAGTGTATTATAATGGTAGACGGTATTGGAGAAATTATTAATCAAGACAGGTTCTGATATGTTTCTAGTTCAGGCTGTTAATTTTCTGAATATGATGCAGGACTTAATGGGTGAAGTTCTATAGCCTGTGTTATGCAGGAGGTCATATATAGGTAGTCATAATGGTCTCTCTCTTGGCCTAAAAATCTACCAATATTAAGTTGAAGCGTGCATAGAAAATCATTTTATGCCTCTGTTGTTTTTTTTCAAGCCTAAAACACAGTTCTAATCTGAAAAGCAATTCCGTAAAAGTAGCAAGTAGTGTTTTGTTTGTCTGTGATTCTATATTATATTTTCTCAGTTTACAAATAACAGGTTTTTTTCCTAAGCAGAAACTTGTCTTGGAATCTGGCAAGATTCCTTTCTTGCTTTTTGCATTATCGTAGATAATAAAGATTCTGCAGGCCAAATGTTATTTTCAATATTGCCTCTTCTAACCCTGTAGCTTTAAGTGGACTTACTTAGGATGTAACGGAGTGCCATGATTTCAAGACAGCTGCCCCAGTCCTGCAAAGATTTACACTTGTACTTAACTTGAAGTAGGTTGAGTAGCCCCGTTATAGTCTGGCCTGCTGAAACTATATTAAGGTGGCGGGACACCATCCAGAAACAAACCAGTCAAGTTTTTGAGTCCTGTAGTGTATTATTAGGACTTGTCAATGTCACCTTATGTCCCCTTTGATATGGAAACACAATAAATAATAAACATGAACCCCCTAAAACCGTTTTTACTGAGCAAAAGTTCAGAATAAAACTTGTACTTGTAACCAGTACATCTCTAAGTTGGGTAACATTGAGGTTTTTTTTTAAAAAAAAGTTTTTACTTTTACAGCAACAGGTCCATAACAGCCAACAATCAAACTACTAACTCAATGTTTTCTATGCTTAGTACATTTTTTTGAAATCTAAAGCTGGTAAGTTTTAGTGAATGTTCAAAACTAATGAGTATAATATAGTTCCAAATTTAATAAAATGTGGGTATGTTAAATGTGTTGTGTACACTTTCTGTAGTTGAGTCTAGTGACCTTTTTACTTTTAGAAACATCTTTCCAAAAATGTAAGATGACCTTTAATTAATATTAAGAATCTGGAATAATTTCTTGTTGTAGTTGAACCAGGTAATGTGTCCAGCTTTAATATATCAAGAAAGACATTGATTTTTGTCAAATAATCCAATAAAACATACATAATGGAGAATAAACCCTATGGAGAGGTTTCCTTTTTGTGTATCAGAGCCTCCATATTATTTTTTTCTTGGGCACCTTTTTGAACTTTTCATTGGGGGTAATGATACAAATGTACAAAACAAAAATGTCTGCCAATGTTTGTGGTTTGCAGTTATATTTTCTCCCCCCCTTTGGTGTGTGGAAGGCTCACAAAAACCAAACGGGCAAATTATACAGCGGAAGCAGTAAAGTTGCCTAGGACAGTGTAACCAAACTAATATTGAATGTTTATTTTCAGCAACAAACAGTAGCAAAAAATCAGAGGTTAGTGACTTTTTTTCAGTTGAAGGTGCCCTTTTAATGGCTGTGTAATACATATCTTCTGCATGCTCCACATTTTAAAAACAATATATATTTTGTGCTATCTTGTCTCCATAAGAATATGGGAAATGAGACTTTCTTGTGAAAGACTGATGATAACGGTTTTGCTGAGATTGCATACAAATAGATGACAAATGGCAATTCATGTGTGTGAGGGATTACAGCTAAATGAGGAGAGAGTTAGACAAAATAAAAATTCCTCTTGGAGGGTGGGGCAGAAATTTATTTCGACTGTCAGAAGTGCTTTCTCAAAATTATTTTCAGAACAAGATCCTCAAGAGATTCTACTGAACCTCAGATAATTTATTTAAAGCAGGTCTTGCAAAGGAGAGCAAATGCTGAAGATGCCAGCAATTGTCTGCAAATTTGTCACATACCTGTCCTAAATTGAACAAATTTTGGCCTGACATACATGCAGAAACCTCTGTGGTATTGAATGTCCTGTTCTGTCTGCTTATTCTTCATGAAGTAGATATCTTGGCTGTAGCCTCATTCTAGTATCAATAAATACTTAGAAGATCGGGTTCTGATGTTAACATTTTAATGCAGTGGCTCTCAGTCTTTCTAGAGTACTGTACCCCATTCAAGCGTCTGATTTGCCTTGCGTACCCCAAAGTTACACCTCACTTAAAAACTACTTGCTTGCAAAATCAGACATAAAAATACAAGTGTCACAGCACACTGTTACTGAAAAATTGCTTACTTTCTAATTTTTACTATATCATTATAAAATAAATCAATTGGAATATAAATATTGTACTTAATTTCAGTGTATAGTATATAGAGCATTATAAGCAAGTGATTGTATGAAATTTTAGTTTGCACTGGATTTGCTAGTTCTTTTTATGTTGCCTGTTCTAAAACTAAGCATATATGTAGATGAGTTGATGTATCTCCCTGAAAGACTTCTGAGTACCCCCAAGTGTACATGTACTTCTGGTTGAGAATCACTGTTTAATGTCTACCAGGCACTTTGATTTCAGAAGTTTGCCATTGATGCAGCTTTCTTATTAGTGGGATGAAAAACTGAAAGAAATATGCTAAAGTTGAAGAATACATAGATATTCTGGATAAAGAAGAAATGTATGATGCTGGTATAGGTATTATAATCCAAAATTTTTGTAACACTGCATCTTTAGTGTTTTACCTTTCTTTTCCCCTTAATCTTTTTCCTTGATCCTGTCTCCTCTTGTACATATATTAGACCTGATAGATCCCACTACATATGTCTGTTCTTCAGTTTACTGAATGTTTTAATTGACCCAGATCCAACAGGTGAACAGACTTTTTCCAAAATTTAAAACAAGTTTTTAAAAATGATAGAATTAGTGCACTAAAGTTCAATTGCTTGCAAATATAATTTGCATAGTAAGTAGACTTCGTAAAATCATGTGTCAAGTTTTACCAAATAAGTTGATCCAACAAGCTGGGATTTTTTTTTTTATT